AGAGAGAGAGAGAGTAACAGGAGGGGGGAGGAGTGAGGGAGGGAGGGAGGGAGGAAGGGAGGGAGGGACGGAGGAGGAGGAGGAGGAGGAGCAGGAGGAGGAAGGGGGAAGAGGAAGGGGAGAAGGAGGAGGAGGAGGAGGAGGAGGAGGAGAAAGAAGGCTGCACGCCACTCCAGTGCTGGCTCATCCGGCCCTAGAGCCAGATACCCTCGGCCTCGCCCTCGCCCTCGCCCTCGTCTCCCTCGCCCCATCCCCGGTGCACGGGACCACGCCGCTCCCTTCGCCCGCGCCTCGGCCCGTCCGCCGGCGCGAGAGGTGCCCTGCGCTGGCGAGGGGGGGGGGGACCGAGGCCCGCGGTGGAGCCACCTGGGAGGCGCGTGGCCGACGAGCTCCCCTGGGGGCCCCAACACTCAGGGGAGAAGCAGCACGGACCACCGCCACCGCGAACCCAACGATCGTGCGGGGGTGCCGACCCATGGGCGGTGGCACGCCTGGGCGCCACCCGGAGCACGACGACGCCCGGGCGTGCCGCCGCCCCGTGGCCGGTCCTCACCCGATGGGTTCTCGGTGGCGGTGGTCCTTCCTCCTCCTCCTCCTCCTCTCTCCTCCTCCTCCTCCTCTCCTCCTCCTCCTCCTCCTCCTCCTCCTCCTCCTCCTCCTCCTCCTCCTCCTCCTCCTCCTGCGTTTCTGCGTTTCTCGCTATGCAGCGTCTTGTCGCGCGCCCCGCGGGCGCGGAGCGCTCTGCAGCGGCCCACCAGGGCCGTGCGGGCGCTCAGACTGCGGCCCCGGGAACCCGGCCCCGAGGGAAACAGGGAGCCTGGGACCAGTAAATCATAGAGAAGGGAGAGAGGGGCCGGGTTTCAGTAAAACAAAAAGATGAGGGCCCATCTGGGCCCTCGGCAGGCGCCGCGCGCGCCCGTGCCAGCTCAGCCAGCTCGGCCCGCAGCCAGGCCTCGGCCTCTTTGTGGGCGGTCGGCCTTTTGTGTGGCGGCTGGGCTCCCTTCGGCGCCTCGCGCTGAGCCCAGCCGCCAGGTCATCGGGTGGCTGGCCGCCTTCTCTGCGGCGGCCTCCACCCTTCGGCGCTCAGCGCTGTGGAGGCCCGCCGAGCCTCTGACTTCAGCGGCTCTGCAGCGCTGTCCTAGCCTCGGCCTCTTTGTGGGCGGTCGGCCTCTTGTGCGGCGGCTGAGCTCCCTTCGGCGCCTCGCGCTGAGCCCAGCCGCCAGGTCATCAGGTGGATGGCTGCCTTCTCTGCGGTGGCCTCCCCCCTTCGGCGCTCAGCGCTGTGGAGTCCGCCGAGCCTCTGACTTCAGCGGCTCTGCAGCACTCTCCTCGCCTAGCGGTCGGTCTCTTGCACGGCGGCTGGGCTCCCTTCGGCGCCTCGCGCTGAGCCCAGCCGCCAGGTCATCAGGTGGATGGCCGCCTTCTCTGCGGCGGCCTCCACCCTTCGGCGCTCAGCGCTGTGGAGGCCCGCCGAGCCTCTGGATTCAGCGGCTCTGCAGCACTCTCCTCGCCTGCCACGCGAGGGCCGTCGGTCATGACCCCCTGCTTTTGAGCTGCAGGAGGGTACTGATCTCGGATGTTGTAGATGTCGTTGTATGGGGCTGCGTGCAGATGTGGAGCGAGTTGGCGAGGTCGTTGGGGGTCGGGCTGTTGCTGGTGTTGTGTTGGTGGTGGGCTCCCAAGGCCTCCATGCACCGACTTCAAGTGGGGGTCGTTACTGTCCCACCTCGTCCCGCTATGGCTAGGGGTCACGGTGCCCTCGGTGGGGGCGAACCCCAGGCCTGGTACTTGTCGTCGGAGTGGTGTGTCTCGGCTGTCCAGCTTCGCCCTCGGGCGATCGGGTAGCTCCTCCTTCTCCATGGGAATGGTGGGGGTGGCGAGCTAGGGCGGACCGCGGGGGCGCGGGTAGTGGCCGTCCTACCCCCCCCCTGCCCCTCACCATCCCCGCTGGCGGGCGCGGGAAGTACTCGTCCTTCCCCCCCAGCCCTTCGAGCCCGTCTCGAAGTTTGATCCTCACCAGGACAGCGTTGACTTGGAAGGAGTTGTAGGGGGTCGTGCTGGGTATGCTGTCGATGTCGGTCGGTGGTAAGCTGACGGCCAATGGGCCGCCCGCTGCCAGCCAGCTGGCGCCATCCATATTGTAGATCTCCAGGAGCCGCCGCGGTACACATCAAAACGTGGCGACTTGTGCCTGGGGTGTTCCCTCTCATTCGGGGCTTCCCCAGGTCTTGCGTTCTAGCAATAGCCAAGATTGGCGACGCTGCCTGAGGTCTTCCCACGCATTCGGGGCTTCCTCAGGACTTAAGCAGCACACCGTAATGCCAGTCCAGGGCCAAATAATCATAGTAAACAATGCCAATGTTAGGAAAGTCAATAAATCCAGTAAGTGCTCGAGGGGGGGGCACGCTCCGTCGCCATTGAGGGATCGTGCCCACCCGTATGGGCGCTACGGGTCCCCCCCCCTCGAGATGGCACGCAATCGTTGTCCAGGTCGCATCCGTACCAGTAACCCGTTGGCAACAGGGTGTCGGGCCATGCCGTAGGCGCTGATGCTGACACTTCTGCTGCCAATCTGAAATACTCTGTATACAATATTGTAATGCCAGCTGCCATCATATCTGTAGCAAGCCGGTGGTCTGCGCCAAATTGCAGACCAGTGTTCCCTTACGGGGCAAAAGTAGATAATACTGGACGCTTGACTCGACTAGCTGCACCAAATAAGCCACTGCAGTGCCAATTGCTAGCGCCGCTGGTTGCCCCATGCCCTGTGACAATCATGGCCGATCTGGTCTGTCTCCATGTAGTAATCCAAGGGGGCGTAGAACCTGTGGTAGCAGTCGTCCGTTTCGGCCCACATTGCCTCTTCGTCAGCAAGCTGCCCCCAGTGGGCTGCGAAGGCGGTAGCCATTGCCTTGCACAGCCTTGATGGATACTCTTTGAGAGGGGCGGTCCTCCAGCCGCCTTGGCCGTCTCGTCCGTAAGCTCCGGCATGTCCCGCATGTCGGCATAGCTGTCCCCCAGGTACCGCCCTTAGCTCCTGTGCGAGTTCACCGAGGTGTGCCGCCATCAGACATGTTGGTTTTCTCGCGTCCTGCCCGAACTGGCACTGGTCTATGTAGTGAAGTTCGACGCCCGTCTGCTCCAGGAGCCAGAGCGTCTCTGCTCGCTGCCAGCTGCTAGGCGCTTGGGGGCACCATGTGGCTGGGGCGGGATGCTCGAGTACGGCTGAGACGTTGTACTGCAGGCCCGTGGTGATGAGTAGTAAAGCTGTCCTGTATAGCTCGTTGGCTAGCGCGATCTGTTGATGCTCCGCTTGGCTAGCTGCTTGTATGCCCCAGGGGGCTTCATGTGTACGTAGTGGTCGAGGTGCCTTCCCCTCGGCGGCATGCCAGCGCGATGAGCACCACGTCTCGCAGGGCGGGCCCGCCACAATACCAAATATTTTGCCCTGTCGTATCGCTGCGCACCAAAAGTCGACGACGTCTGGCTTCGTCAGGTCTCCTTTGACGGGGTCTATCTGCACGTCGATCGATAGTACTACCAAGTTGCATTCCCGAATGTTCATCTCGAAGTGGTACTGGAAATCCTCGATTCGACGTCTGCCCGAAAAAAGGTGCAGCAAGAACATAGCCGTGGTAACCATGGGCCTGCACGGTGAGAATACGATTGCAGGTGGTGTCGCTGCTTGGACGTCCGCTGCCGCTGGCGGGGCCGGCGAGAGTTGGAGCTGGTGCTGCTCTATGTAGTCGGCCAGCTTGAGCTGTATGACCTGTTGGGCGGGCACAAGCGCCTTTGTAGCTCCATGCCCCATTGCCTTCCTCGCCGCCACAGCTTCTCGTTCTTCTTC